GGGCCAGCACCGATCTTTTCTCGAGGACCATTTTATATGAATTCATGGTTGGATTCATGAGCCCATTTATAGCGTTGTAATGTGGAGATTGACCTGAGCCCAATACAAATGAGATGATGACTCCAGTTAATTAATATTTCAATTAATATATTCATTTGCATCTTATTGACTAATCACATGTTTTAGTAATTAATTTTTAAATGGGTTACTATTTTGACTGAATATATATAATCAGTTTTCTTGAAATGTTCATCGTCCTCGAATGCTGTATTAGTGCATTAAACTGTTAACACGTATAATCATAATCATAATAATTTAATGCATTCAACTATTGGGAAATGCTAATGTCCCGTTACAGAATCATTTCGTTAGGGTTTGTAACCGTTAGATCAACATGTAACCGTAAGAGATAGTTGATCTCACGGTTACAAACCTTAACGAAATAACTCGTAACGAGACCGCATCTTTCTAAACTATTAGCACATATTATAATGATCATAATATTTTCACGTGACTCAAAAGGCAAAAATTCAATTTTGGTCTGCTAATTTGTTCATTGTTCACTTTTGGTACACTAACTTGTCCCTCATAAAAAAAGGTCCATTATATTACACATTTCATCAGTTTTAGTACGCTAATCCCGTGGCCCGGGATTACGAGATGTCAAATCAGTTTTTTTTATCCTACCACGTCAACATCTTATCCCTCTACGTAGTTCAAATCCCGATCCACATCATCTTGTAATCCCGCCAACTGGAGTAGTGTACTAAAACTGATGAAAAATGTAACATAATGGATCATTTTTTATGAGGGACAAGTTAGCGGACCAAAAGTGGACAATGAACAAGTTAGCGGACCAAAATTGAATTTTTGCCTGACTCAAAACTTAAGAGAAACAATATTTGTTAAATTCACTTGATCAATGACTTTCACAAAAATTTCCAAATTTCATTTTGTTGAATAAATGTGTACGGGTTTATCTACGTACGTATTATACTATTATTCATTCAATAAATTATTAAATAATATTTATAAAATAAAATATAGAGTTAATGTATAATACAATAATTTTCTTGCATTAATTTGTTGAAAACAGTACCTAAAATTTAACTTGTGCAAAATACATAAAACATGTTAATCTAAAATATTAAAAGTACCTAAAATGTTATATAACATGTGTAAAAAATTAAAATGTTCTATACTTATTGAAAGACGGCTAAAATTGCAATTTTAATATTATTGATATAAACATATATATATATATAAAAAAAAAAAAAAAAAAAAAAAAAAAAAAAAAAAAAAACCTAAATCACTCTATGCTATTGAACTTTTGAATTTTTATTTTCTGTAAAATAAAGGCCGAATTGGTAAGATTTGTTTCCAAACGATAATCAAGAAATAAAATTGTTCTTTCTTTAAAAGTTCTGGATTTTGTAATTCGACGATTTTAAATTTATATTTATTAAAAATATAAATTTTCGATAATTTTTTAATTAGCAAGTTAAACATTTTTAACAAAAAAAATCAACTTAATATTTTTAAATTTACAACACCAAAGTGAATAGATCATAATGTTAATACAAATAACCATGCAATTGAATTTTTGTCTGTCATTATATATTTAACTTTAAAATCTATGCCTTAGTCTAAAGTAGTGAAGTAAAAAATAAACAAGAACAATTTCCAACAAAACTATTGAAGCATATTAGAATATACACTTGTGAGTTGTTTCACATCATTTATACATGGAAAATAGGTCTAATTTATAAGTCTAGCGGGTTACTCCTCCAACTACCAATTGGTTTTAGGATGGAACCCCACCAAGGCCCATCTAGGCTCACCCTACTTTAGTGCGCTTCATGTCCGTAGGACCGCACCCGTCTACCCCCGTTTCTTCGTGTGTCCGTGCAATGACATACACGTCAACCAGTCCATTTGGGCTTCGCCCTCACCCTGCTTTGGTGCGCTTTACGTCCGTGAGACCGCACCCGTCAACCCTCGTTTCTTGATGGTATCAGAGCCGGTTCACCCAGCTCAGTTAGGCTTGAGCCTACGTGGGACCGTGCAATGACGTACCCGTCACCCAGCCCAGTTTGGCTTGGGTCCCACATTATGTTAGGGAAAATATTACTTGTGAGTTGTCTCACATCGTCTATACAGAGAAAATAAGCTTAACTTATAAGGTGCAATTCGACTCACCCTCTTATGGTGCACTTCACTGTATGGGATCGCACCCCTGATGCCCCTATTATTAAAATTTGACATGATATCAGAGCAGGCCTAATTGGGGACCTGCGATAATTTTTTTTTTTTTTTAAAAAGTACCCAACTTGGTTGTAGGCTCGAACTTATGATGATGAAAATGTACCCGGTATGATTGTAGGTTTGTCCTGATGAAGGACTCACAAGTGAGGGACGTGTTAGAATGTCACTTGTGAGTCAAATGAGTCTAGTTTATAAGTCTAGTGGGTACTACTCCCATCACCAATTGATTTTGGGATAAAACCTCACTAAGACACAACTAATCTTACTCTCTTATGGTACACTTCACTTTGTGGGACTACATTCTTGATGCCCCGATTATCAAAATTTGACAAAACAGCCAAAATTAATAATAACGTCATTTTCGTGTCTCATACTTTATTTTTATTTTTTTCGCTATGAAGCTGCCAAGAAAGTATATATGAACTTTTCACTTCAAGGAACTTTCAAAACACTTGCAAAGTTTGAAAAGTCCACGCGGACGCCACAAATCTTGCCTAATTCCACATTTTATATTCTCAATAAAAAAATTCTCGCCATTCACCACTATGCTGGAACCGCCCGACCCGACCCGGACCCGACCCGACCAAATTGACCCAATAACGCCGTGTCATCTGTCCAATCATTGGATTATTGGACCAATTATTGTACCGATGAATTAATTTTAAAATTTTGAAATTATATATATACACACTTTTTACGAACAAAACTTTTTCTTATTTTAAAATAAAAATAGAAAAAAAAAAGAACACATATAGTAGTCAGGTCAAACAATGTTGATCCATTCGGGTCATTCCTAGGTCGACCCGGTTTGACCGAAGAACCCACCTCAAATGATACCCGTTCTCGACCCAATTAATCCCGACCCGACCCGTAAGGCCGAGTAAACAAAATATAAAAAATGAAAAAAAATAAATAATAAATTCACATTTAACCACAACTACTTATTAATTCTTTCTCAAAAATTCATGCAAAACGAAATTTCCTCCATATTTCGCACTATATAACTCGCAACACACAAGCAACTTCCTAAATTCAAACCTAATTAATTCCCCCGTGACCTTATATTATAATTCCACATTCCAAATACACATATATAAAGTTCCAAATCACACCCATCAAAAATTCAACAAAACTCCTCCAATAAAAACACTATTTGAATGTGAAGATCATAGCCATGATGTCTCTAAGCAATCTAAGCAAGCTCCAAATCCTCGATATCATATCGGTAAATTCGAGCTTCGTCCAAGTGTTCGTCTTGCTCGTGTGCTTGATCGAATTCTTCGTTTTTTTCGACAAGAAGAAGTTCGCCGGATTCTTCTTGGGATTCTATTCTCTGCTTCTCACCCCGGTTCAAGGTTCCGTTTTATCGAGCCGTGGAGGAAAAACAAACCCCGTGCAGGAAGAGAAATGCCATGTCAGCAGGGGAGATTTGTCGGTTGTCTTGACGAGCTTGCGTCTTCCTTGCGAGGATATTCCGGCCAAGCTGGACGTCGACGGCATTGTCGAGATGTTCGAGGGGAAAAGCGTGTTTTCGGGTGAGGTAAAGGAGGCTTTCGATGTGTTTGATGAGAATGGAGATGGGTTTATTGATGCAGGGGAGTTGGGGAAGGTCTTGTGTGCTTTGGGGTTTGGGGAGGGATTGGATGTGGAGAGGTGTAGGGGAATGATTGGGGCCTTTGATGAGAATGGAGATGGGATGATAGATTTTGGTGAATTTGTGAAACTCATGGGATATATGTAGCTTTTAGACAGAGTAATTTTATTTATTTATTGATTTTTTTGCAAGGGAAAATTGTTCACTATCTTAAAATTCATCTCATTTTCTATATATATATATATATATATATATTTTTTTTTTCATAGCAATTCTCTGTTGTAACTATTAAAGAAAACAAGACCAAGAACATGGAAAGATGATGAAATTAACTTATAATGGATCCATACAAACTTACCAGCAAAAAGTATATTTTTAAGTTGTTTATTTTAGGTCCCTTCAGGACCTCCGATAAAATTGAAACGATACAGAGAAGATTAGCATGGCCCCTGCGCAAGGATGACACGCATAAATCGAGAAAAGTTGTTTATTTTACCCCTATTTTGGTTTTAGTTTTTTTCAGAAATTTATGTTTTTTTTTTCATTTTGGTATTCTTTTTTTTCCCATTTTTGTAGTTATTTGGAAAATAATTGGATTGTTAAGTTGTTTATTATACCCCTTATTTTGGTTTTAGTTTTTCAAAAAATCATATTTTATATTTTCATTTTGTATTCTTTTTTTTTTTCATTTTGGTAGTTATTTGGAAAATAATTGGAAATACTAAAATTACTGTGTTTTCATACTGTGTTTTCATTGAGAAAGGGCAAATTTCACAAGAGCTAAGGTTAAATATCTCTCGAGACACCAAAACCTCTTAATGAACTTTCATACCGTGTTTTCATCAAGAAAGGTCAAAATTTCACAAGAGGTAAGGTAAATCTCACGAACCAACAGATCTCTTGATCAATTTTCATACTGTGTTTTCATCGACAAAGGTCAAATTTCACAAAAGCTAAGGTAACTTTCACGAGCCAAGAAGACCTTCTCTTGATGAACTTTCATACTGTGTTTTCATCGAGAAAGGTAAAATTTCACAAGAGCTAAGGTAAATCTCACGAACCAAGAAACTTCCTCTTAATGAACTTTCCATGCTGTGTTTTCATCGAGAAAGGTCAAATTTCACAAGAGCTGAAGTAAATCTCACGAGCCATAATGTGGAGGTCCCAAGTGCCGAGGAGGAGCTGCATAAGAGGGATTTGCAGCTGAAGGGTACGCCTGACCGTAAAACGTGCTAGGAGCCGACATAAAAGTGGGCCCCACAGCTGGGGCAGACGTGTCATTAGCATAGCCAACTCCAGGAGCTGCCACTGCAGTTTGTTGCATGGGGAGTGATAAAGGGACCGTGTAATCTCGGCTCTTGTCACTGTAAGCCTATATTAATTAACATTCAATCAAAAATATAATTAGTTCTGCAGATGAAAAGAGACATTGGATGAAAGAACAGACATGAGTCGAGAAGCATACACCAAAGTGAGCAATGTCCTTTTTATTCAGGGTCAATAGAATTTGGCTCGGATGACAATCAATGTTTTTGGTCTCGTTATTTTTTTGCACAACTATATTTTTTTTAAAGTTAAAATAGCATTATTTTTATACCTTGACATTGAGATCAGTATGACGAGAGTATGATAGATGAAGCTTACAATAGCCACCATCATATATGCAATGTCCCTCGAGAGCTTCCTTAGCAATGGCAGCTGTTGAAATATCTGCAAAGGCAATATCATGAATGCTATATTTTATTTATTTTTTATCTTTTTCAAGAGCAGGCAGCAGCATAGCTATGCAATGACACTGAAATTTTAGGGAATGGTTGCTCAACTTTTGCCTGCTTTTCCTTTATATTTCCATCCTTTTGCAATAATAGTTTATTAGTGTCGATAGATTATAATGAAAAATATGAATAACGACGTAGCCCGGGAAATAAGAAACATAAACATTTACAAAGCAAATATCACTATTCAAAATAAATATCATGTCTAAAGAGGGATGCGTTTTCAGGTGATGGTTCATCTTTTCCATTATTCACCCAGAAGTTCAGTGCTTTTTCTTGGAGCACGATCCTATTACATATGCCTTCATGTATGTGATTATTTCATAATTTGCAAGTAATTTACCTGGATACTGAATTAGTGCCTGAGTTCCACCATTCTTCTCAAATATTGCAATCTTTTGAACACTTCCAAATGCAGAAAACACCTGATCAAAAGCCACACCTTATGCGTTAATTCTTTTCTCCAAATATGTCGTGCGTAGGAGAATAATCAGCACAAAGATCATTACCGTGTGAAGAACATCCACTGTGACAGCATATTGCATATTCTCAATTGAAGCAAGCAACACATTACTCTCTAATTCCATTTTTTTCCCATCAGGACCTACGGCAGGCTGGATGAAGATAACATGTTATTGTTTGCCCAATTTAAAGAACTGACAAATGCTTACATTGATTTAACATGCCTGAATGAAACCCTCCATTGCAGTGGTATTAACCGGAAGATAAGGGTTTGTATAATCTCTGCAGAATTATGAAATGATAAAAGGCATGTATCAGAAGATCGTCAAGAGTATATATAAAATGGCATACTGTTACTCCAAGCCAATCACACAATAGTCAATACTGATACTGCTCGAAGATACAACCGCCAACACTCAAATAAAAAGTTGAAAATGTTTTTCAAAAGACATTACAGTTTGCCAAATAGTTGATCCATATGAAGTTCCCAAGGCCAAAAAGGAAAATTGTGGGTGTGCAGAACTTTTAACATTAAACTACAAAATAAAAATACAATCATTCCCAACATTCAATGAAAATAAATGATCAAAAGCCATGGAAAATATTTTTTAGACACTTCGAGGTGATCTAAAACCAAGATTATATAATGTTGGTGCATCAGTTTCTAGTAACTTATACACATCGCATTCTAAAGAAATATTAAGAAAGGAAAAACAAAAATTATAAGATAGAGAACATGGCCATGAAAACACAGAATTGCATTAAGCTACTGAGCTTTTAACTAAACCCTAAATGACAAAAACCATAATTAGAGAGATCACATTTTGCCGAAAAGTTCTACGCCTACAAGTAACTTGACGAAATAACCAACATTCAGTGGCACCAAAAAAAAAAAATGATAGAAACAATGAAACATCAAGAACTGAATAATTAGGTTTGTCATTACCTGCTCCGATGTGACTGAAACTTAATATTCAAATCTGTGTGGGCAGAGTAGGCAATGCGCAAGTAACACTCGTTTACATGACTTGGAAGAAGGTATCTGAAATTAAACAGGATAAAAATAAATTCACCTGATAGAGAAGTCCATTTAACGAAAAATTTAAAAAAAAAAAAAAAAAAAAACAATCAAGTGTGAATATGATTGGTCATAAATAAGACTAAAAATAGACGCGGATATTCAAGGTCTCTTCAATGTATATAGGCCTAATTTACATACTTGGGTATGCTTCTACCATCTAGAGAATCCTTTGCCATGGATGCAGTCTGCACATCACTATACTGAATCAAAGCCTGTGAAATTAACCATCATAAGAAAATTGCGCTCACAAAGTAATGCTATAAAAGCAATTTTAGTTCTCCAAGATAAATTACCTGAAAACCGGCAGACTTCTCAAATGTAGCAATCTTGTGAACAAAACCAAATGCTGAGAATACCTAAGATAGAGAAACTCCATTTTCAGCATATCAAATAGAACTGAAAATGATAAGACACCGGAAGAAGCAGTATATTCTCAGTATAATAATATGAGGGGAATAGCAACCGAAAGATATAAGTCAAGAAAAACACCTGTACAACTGCGAGAAGATAGACCTTAAAAGCAGTCACATGACAATATATCCAGACTGTCTCCAACACAAGACTATGAAAAGACCATCTGTTATTTAATTTTGTCTCATTAAAGGTGACAGCATATGCAAGTTACTTTTAGGAAAATATAACTAGCTAAACTCAATAACCAAACTTTCTCAATACAGATTATAGCCAAAAGTTTGCATGCGGACCCAAATCCTGGAAACCACAAGCATGCAATACCAAACAATGAACATTGCATCAGAACTGTCATATATACTAAAGTTATGACCATGGTGAGCATGAAACAGAGAAGAAATAAATAGTAAGTATTGAAAATTTGACTATTAACTCGATGCTGAAAATATTTCAAGCCAAAAGTTCTATATAGTTGAAAAGGCTTACCAGGTGAATGACCTCAATGCTGACATCGCCAGCTTCAACACCCTCGATGGTGACAAGTAAAACATTGCCTGGAACATCTCCAGGACTCTTGTTGTTAACTATTTCATGCCTGTTTGAGTATTGTATGTACACAGTCTTTCCACGAATCTGTGCAGGCTCTGGAGATGAAGCATAATAGGTAACCATGTTAATGGCCTGGTTAAGATCAACCTGCAGAAATGCTCACATATTCATTAATCTAAGTCTTTAACTTGTACAAAACCACAAACTGCCTAGAAAAAACTTAGTTCTATGTGTTAATTCTTAAAGGACCCAACATTTATCAAGGCTTAAACACGAAAATTCAGGCCACTCTCTACTACAACTGAATGAATTCAAACAAAATATTCATATAGTAACCGAGTATTTCCTATGTAATAATAATCACTGTGATGCAATCCCTTTTCCTCCATGAATTCAAAAGTGATACATAATATACAATACTTGGAATCCCTCTCGATTACTAGTAGCCTCGTCTAGAATGATGAGCATATTTTTGTTTTTCTTAGAAAAGAACCGTAAGTTCTCGAAGGTCGGTCTGACAATGTGAAAGTAGGTAGTCACCTTGACCTGGTACTCGGATCAATTTTGTTTTGGTTTACAGTGACCAAAACATAAATCCTCCATAAATACTCAATCAACAGAATCAATTCCTCTACATTTTCAAATATCTCCAGCAACATAATTCACCAACATACACGGAGAAAAAAAAAAAATCGAAATGGAAAACAGCATACAAATTCGACAAACGCTTGATTTCGGTTAGCCCCAACGTTGCACTTGGTGTTGACGATTTTGCCGAAGGGCTTGCATAGCTCGACGAGCTCCTCCTCGTTGCACTCCCATGGAAGATTCCGCAGGTGCAGTACTTTTGACGGCGTCTGTGTGTAGCGAAACTGCTGGTGCCCGGACGTCGACATTGTTACGCCTCTCCTTGACGGATTAGGGTTTATCAAGCTAGGGCTTCGAGAATTGGGGATTTTTGGATTACGGGTTCGTAAAGTGAAGCCTAGAAAAATGAAATAATAACATAATAATAATAATAAAAATGAAATCATGTTAGTGACATTTTGAGATCTTTTATTAAAAAAAAAAAAAAGGATTTTTAACTGAAAAATAATGTATGGTTTTTAATTTTTAGAAATTAAAGTATTTTTTTAAATCTTGATGTCTAGTGAATTATATGTGAAACAACATGTTCTTATTTATCAATAATATTGTTTTGCCTCAATAAATAAATCTATATTTTAAGATAAAATATCATATTGTGAGACTTTTTTTTTTTTTAAGTATGACATCGTATATATATATAAATATATGTATTTATTAATATATATATATATATAAAGGGTCGAGCAGTGTATAGCACACAATAATTTGTATTTTTATATTACTTACACTACAAATAAAAAAAATATTGAATTGGTCTATTAATACGTGTGCTATATACGTATCATAAATAAGTTGAGCACATAGGATGGAAGTGTTTCGAACTTTTAGATTCTATTTGAGTTTTATGATTTTGGTTGATGATGTGGTTTGAGAAATAAAATTGAGTCTGATTAAACCATAGTCTCGCAAACCTACATAATCGATTCATGTTTTGTGTTAATTATTCTATTTTATTCTTAAGTTTCGCAAAAGATAACAGTTGTAGTTCGCCAAGCGACAATAATTGTAGCAAAATTGTATTTGAAAATTATAATTTATTTGTGATTTTATTAATAAAAATCCCGGAAGTTGTAACATATAAACGTTGTGGCAAAATTGCATTAGAAATTACGATATTTAAGTTTTTACAACCCAAACGGTACTTTTCAGTTTTTATAATTA